GTGTACGTGCGTGCCCAAGATCCCGAGAGGAGAATGGAGGAGAAGGGATTGCGGCGTGACCATCCCCCCTGGGGGGTGATTTATCGCTTTTTGTCTCTTTCTCACTCTGTTTGTCTGGCGAGCGCACACGCCCTATAGCGAAAATCCCCCCCCCAAAAAAAATATCTCCCCCTGGGGGTGATGGCCATGCCACGCACCCTTCTCCTCTATTCTCTCTTGTGATTCTGGGCACACATATACACATACTCAGCATGATTTTCAAGCCGCCAGGTTAGGGACTTGAACTGCCATTGACCAGCGCCTTTCATGTTATTCGCTGGCCTCCCAAACACTTTTTTCTTAAAAAAAGATTTATTTTATTTTATTTATTTATTCATTTATTTTAATTTGACCAGAGAGAGACACGCATGTACACACACACATACACACACACAGAGAGAGAGAGAGAGAGAGAGAGAGAGAGAGAGAGAGAGAGAGCACGCCCCCGAACTGTGGTTGGCCATGTGGGACTGTCCAGTGCCTTCACCACCACCCACCTGCTGGCCCCCCAACACTAACCCTGTTTTTGTTTTTGCTTTGCTTTATTCTTCTTTAAGGGTTAACAGGAATTTGTAACTTCTTTACTATAATCTGTAACTATTGTAACAAATACAGCCCTACATAAACCTGTTAGCTTAGAAGAGGAAACTTAAGCCACTTCTTTCAGACAATGGTCACAAAAAAATGTAACCAGGACAGGGGGCCCAGGCAGAAATCTTAAGAGATGGGAATATTTGCTCAAGGAACACAAGGTAACAGGTTAAACCATGAAAATTATAATAATGTTATCATTTATCACATCAGTTACTCACAGATGTTTAGATTATTTTGTTAAACAGTGTAACTTAAAGAAAATGCATCGTTGGGACCAGCAGGTGCCATAGTGGCTAAGGCGCTGGACACTCCCACATGGCCGACCACAGTTTGAGTCCCAGACCTGGTGGCTTGCTTTCTCACTTTCTCTCTCTCTCTCTGTTTCTCTCTGGTCAAATTAAAATAAATGAATAAATAAATAAAATTAAATAAATAATTAAAAAAAAAAAAAAGAAAATGCATTGTAACTTCCCCCAATCTATCAATGTAAGTCACAAGTCTGAGTCAACAGATTCAATGTTGCCATAATAACGAAAACAGTGTCATACATGTGGAGTGAAAGGAAAAGATGGACACTTTTAGGAAAATCATAAAGGGAAGAGTAACACTGAACTAGCTAAATTTATGGTACAGGTAATCATGGGTACGCCAGAAGTGTAACGGCATGGAAGGTGCTGAGAAGTTCTGCCCCAGGACTTGGCTGTGGTCTTGTTGGTGCTTGGCCACCCCCGTGCTAGAACACAGCTAAATCAACTTCGTTTCTCTTTTGCTTCCCATCTCCATTCACAGAAGCCACAAGCCCCTCTCCTCCTTCTCTCCAATTTGTCAGGATCTTGAGCAAGAATGCACACACACCTGGCGTGTCCCTCAAGTCACTAGCGTTTGGACTCGAACTGCACAGCTGGCCACGTAGTGTCTGGCTCCCTCACTCACCCTGCCAAGGGCCGGCCCTCTCCAAATTAATTAATTCATTTTTGCCATAGGGCACATGCACTTGTGGGGGGGGGAGCGAGCGAGCGAGCACCCCCTACAGGAACAGTTGAGCAGCAATCCCGTCTGCTTCTCCCTCCCACTAGAATTCCAGACACGCACACGCACGTGCCTGGCATGTTTTTCTAGCTGTCAGGTCTACCATTCAGCCATGTGGAATCCAGCTGTCTTAACCACCATGGCACAGGCTGGCTTGTTTTAAAATTTTATTCTTAATTGCTTTTCCTCTGTTTTAAAGGTTAGCAACAAGTCCAATTAAAAAACCAAACCAAACCAAACCAAACCGTACAGGTTGGTTGTCATTTTGCAACCATAGGCTGGACTAGGATTGCCCTGGAGGTGGGAAAGAAATGCCTGCTGGCGTGGGCACTGTTAGAAGTGGCTGCGGGGAGGGCGGGGCAGGGTGTGAACAGGAGGCGGTAAGTGGTTGCCATTACAGTAACACTGGCCAGGTCGTGGCAGCCACGTGAGAGTAACCTGGAATGCATCTGGAACTCAGAGGCCATGGGGCCCAAGGGGGAAAAGAGGGTCCACAGGCTGCTTACCCGACACACATACTGGCTTTGGGGTCCAGGGGAGAAGGTCTTGGAGCGGATGATGGTGCTCCCTCGAAGAAACGGTGCTGGGGATGGGGTCCCCACCCTCCGGTCCTTGGGCCGCACCACTGTGGGGGATGGAGCTGGGGTCTCGGTGTTGGTCTCTTTGTCCACCTAAGGGAGAAGTCACAGCCTTGAGGCCACCAGTGTCCCCAGTCTCAGCTACCCATCTTAAGACCACTCAGCTCCTCCCCACTTGTCACCTTGCCTGCGGCCTACAGGCACAGCCCTGCAGGATTACATCAGGCCAGTCCAGCCGGGATGGTCCCAAGGCCAGGAATCCTAATCCTCCTCCTTGGTGGCACACTGGCTGGTGGTAGGAACACATACCGTCCTGCCCACAAGCACTAAAGGCACTTCCGGCACCCGCGTCTCAGATGTCACACCCGCAAGACTTACGTACCAACCACACTTTGACAACACCATACCCAAGTCCTCCCCTGTTCGGAGCAAGAGCTGCAGGTGGTTTTTGGGATTATGGAAGCAACTAGCACGTCTGCATTTAAAATTGGGCCATCGGGTTTTCTACGGTCTGCACAGTCAACACCAGCAAGAAATAAACAGACAAAAACGCCCCAAAGAGCTTCTGTGTAATTACGAAAAAGGCGGCCCCTTCTGGCTGGAGAAATTGCAAAATGATGTCTCCTTGGGTGGAGGAGTCAGAAGAAAGTTCTACTCAAGCTCCCCCGTGCAATATGGCACCTGTGGCTTCTCCCCAGTGCCCTGCTCAGACCCAGCTGGGGAGCTACTCCCAGGAGTCCTGCAGGGGGAAAGGACATAGCCCTCGGTGGGGGACACATCCTGTGACAGTTCCTGCCTGTGACAGGAAGCAGAGGACAAGGAAACCCGACTGGCCCTTTCCCATCGCACTTTGGACAGACCCTACTAAGAAACACATTCCTTGTAGGTCTTAGAACCGCAGGCGGAGTGGGAATTGTGTCCACTTTAGAGATAGGGGAACAAAGCCTGGAGAGTCCTCTGCCTTCAGCCACGCTGCTAGAGAGTAGCAGAGGCAGGATTTGATCCAGACCCACCTGACTGCAAAGCTTGAGATCTGGTCAGAGAAACAGGTGAACCACAGAGGGCAGAGAGGAGAGAGGGGTGAGTCGGCCTCGTTTGGTTTACTGCCACTGAAGTGACCCAAAACACAGGCTGGGACACTCCTGTGTGACCCACTGTCACTGAGGCCGAGGGCTTGTCCCGGATGCTGGGGGATGAGACTCAGCCCGGAGCCTTCCCTGACTGCGCAGGCTCAACAGCTGAGGGCTGACCCGGATGGCCACAGGCATCTGCCCAGACCCCCTACCTTTAACGCTGGGAACTCGTCCACGTCGGGAGAGGCTTTCTCAGTGAAGGCGTCCTCCTCTGCCTCTTCATCCTCTCCCTCCTCCTCCTCCTCCTCCTCGGCTGCGGCCTCGTTCTCACTGGTCTCCTCCTGGTACCTCCTGTGACGACAAAGGGCTTTGGTTACCCAGAAGCCTCTCTGCCTCTGCTTAGCTGCCTGCAAGCACACCCAGGGCACGGCTCCAAGCCTTTCCATGAATGCAGACACTTTGTAAAAAGGAAACCAAACCAAACCAATTTCTGTAAGTCCCAGGTCCTACACAGTGAAATGCGTTTCCAAGATGGAGTTGGATGAGTTTTGACAGATGCGGCCGCCTGTGTGTGTAACCACTCCCACACTCAGGTTACAGAACACACCGTTCTCCCAGAACGTCCCCTCGTACCCTAACACAGCTCATCTCCCCCACCCCAACCTCCACTGATCAGCTTTTTGCCACTAGGGATGTGACTTTTCTAGCACTGCATATAAATGAACTTAGTATGCACTCATCTGTCTATGGCTTCTCCTCTGCCAGCAAGAACGTTTTCGAAGTCCATCTGTGTTGCCACATGTCTCAGTAGTTCACTCCTTTTCATGGCTGAGTAATATTCCATCGGAGAGAAACTCTGCAACTTGCTTAGCTATTCATCAGATGAATGTTTGGATTGTTTCCATTTCTTTGCAATGAATAAGAAGTTTCTATGAACATTCACCTTTGTGCAGATAAAGGTTTTCCTTTCTCTCGGACATCACATTAACTTGTCAGGACTATCAAAACAAAGCACCACAGGCCGGCAGCCTAAAGAACAGACACTTATTTCTCAGTTTTGGAGGCTGGACGTTCAAGGAAGTCACTGGACCTGAACTGGGACCTGAACTCCCACGTGGAGTGCCTTTCCGAGTGTTAAGTTTTACCTCTGTGCCACTCTCTGGCCCCTTTAAAAACTGTGTTGTCTTTTTATTATGGAGTTGTAACCAATCATTATATATTTGGGACATGCATCCTTTGTCAAATATTGCAAATATTTTCTTTAAAAAGGCTTGCCTTTTCATTTACCACTTGTCGAAGAGGCTTTACTTTTGGTGGTGCTCTTCATCCTCATCCCCTGGACTCCAGGCCTTGAAGAACTTCACGTAACAAAGGGACTGCACTGGTTAGCAGTGATTTTTCTCTCCCGCTTGACTTTTCGAAGATGGACATAACTGCTGGGCTACTGACCAGCACGAGCCGTGTCAGTGCACTGAGTGAAAGGACCAGCCCCAAACCGACGGTGGCATCTAGTGAGCTGGCTGGTGGGACTGTGGCCAAACATAGAGTGCTCCCTGAGGACATTCCCGAGGGGGGAATGAATCGTGGCTCTCTGCTCCTCGCTCGGAGATGAAAACCTCCCGGCTTAGATGCGGACTACTGCGGTGGAGGGCACTCTGGTCCTGGGCCTTAGCAGCTCTGACCTGATGCAAGAGCTGCAGAACATGTGAACGCCCAAGGAGCACCTCCCCCAGAGGGTTCTGTGGAAGCCGCTTAACAAGCATTTCTTGAGCACTTATATGCTCTAGCAACGAGGACACTACGCCTTGCAGCCCTGCTGGAACACAAGTCTCCATTTTACAGATTCAAAAAGTGAGTAGCAGAGGGCTGATAGGCCTTGGCCAATGCCATGGGCTGCTAAGTGGTAGGGCCAGACTTCTAACCCAGATGTGGTGAAAACCCAACGCCACTGAGCCCTCAACCACAAAGGAAGTCTGTGTGAGTGTAAATCTGCTCTTGATAGTCCCAGACAGGAGCAAGCAAAAGTGACTCATACAACTTCGATTGTAGAAAAATAATTACAATAAAGACTATCTGGTCACCCATTACAATAGAGAAAAAAATCTGATAGCGGCCGGCCAGGACACAGGCATATGGATCCCCGCAGGGAGTGTGAATGAGATCTGCCAGTCTGTGTTCTGATGGCCACTTCGTATCATCTGTCAAAGGAAGACATGCGCATCTGAATGGAGCGGAGCATCTGACATGGCGAGTCAGAGTGTATCTAGGCTAAGGGTACTCTTACACACTGCTAGTGGGAGCGCTTCCTAGTACCCCTCATTTCAGAACTACTCAGCAGCACCTATTAAAATACAGAACACATGTCTCACGACCCAACAATGCCACACCTCCATGTCCCTCTAGACAAACACGCACGTTTCCAAGGAGGTAAATAGGAAGGTATTTTTTACTCTAGCACTGTTTGTGATTATATTTGCCTCTGTTTTCTAAATCTTTGTTTTATCTGGCTTGTGGATCGTGTAAAAACAAAAAATCCAGACTGCGGATTACATGCACTGAAGAAACCTCCGTGAATGAGACAGTAACAATGGCATGCTGGACCTTGGGTGCTGAAGGAGGGGTGTGAATTAGAACAGAGGGCCAGTCTTCGCAGACCTCTGCCCATGACTCCGGGACTGAGCAGGCATAGCCAGACTAGTTAACACCCCAGGACCAAAAGAAGCCTCCAGCTAGTGGGGAGGGGGCTGCAGATGGATTTACCCCAAGCAGCAGCCTCGGATCCCCAGCCCTCTTTGAAAGTCAGCATCTGGGCTAGTTTGAAAGGCGCGGGGTGGGAGAGAGGGGGCCACAATGGGAGAGAGAACAGAAGGCGGTTGCTAGGAGACGGCTTGAAAAGTCTCAACACAAGCTTGGAATCTGGTGGCAACCACTGATGTTGTGCCAGGGTTTCGGGAGACAGGTCCTGGGCCTATTTCTGGCATCAAACCTTCTCCTGTGTGAGCCGTAGTACAGGACAGCTTAGCAGTGTCCCAGAGAGAGGGCGAGAGGGAGGGAGGGACAGAGAAAGGAGAGAAATGGAGACAATTTAGAGAACCCCCAAACAAACAAAGGCATGTACACAAATTGCAGGGCCCTTGCCACATTCTTGATCATGCAGAGGATTAGTAAAGGAGAAGAGTAGCACGGGGTTCCCACCTGCTGCCTTTTTGGGGAATGTCTAAATCATGGAGGGTTTTTATATTTTTAAACAGCTGAAAAGCATTTAAAAGAGCGATAATTTGTGACAGTTGTTATTTGTCTGAGATGTGAATTTCAGTGAAGGTAAATGAAGTTTCAGTGGTGCGTGGACGCTGTTGCTGGTTTACGTATGTCCAGGGCTACTTCCACGCCGTGACAGGGGAGTTGAGTCGAGGTCACAGAATCCCTGAGGTCCACAAAGCAGACACCATTTACTGCTGAACGCTTTTCAGAAAAGGTTTGCTGGCCCCTCGAGTAAAAGCTGTGAAGGGAGGGTCCCTTTGGAGATGAAGTATATAATTTGGGGTTGTAAACAGTAACAGGGGAGTGAGCAAATGCTTTCTCCAGTGCAGTGTCTGTGTTCAGTGCTCATCATGACTAGGTTTTGTTTCTGAGATTTCTGCTATAGGGTGCATGCGCCCAGTGGAGACACAGAGAAAGACAGAGAAAGCGAGAGATCATCCCCCAGGTGGAATGGCCACGCCACAGTCCCTACTCCTTCATTTTCCTTTTGGGATTTTGGGCACACACACATGTGTGCCTGGCAGGAGTTTCAAGCTTCCAGGTCTGGGAGTTGAACTGTGGTTCACTGTGTGGAAGTCCAGTGCCTTAGCTGCCACGCCACCTGCTGACCCCAACCATGAGTAGTTTTACTGAATCTGTAAAGTACTTCATGACTTGGTGGTCAGTTGAAGTGTCTTTGTCATAGATGAGGAACAGAAGTTCAGAGCCATGCTTCTCAGCCCAGGCTACATATCAGAATCCCCGGGGTACTGAGAATGTACTGGGGCTCAGAACAATCCCAGGTTTGGAGGTCCCCGGAAGCCGGCTGGCTAGACGCCCAATCTCCTATCTGAACTCACATGCACTGAAGGCCAACACCTATGTCCTCCCAAATGGCAAGGTTCACAGGGCTACAACCATTTCCCAGCTGGGATTCACACGCCTCCTTTCCAGCTGGTAGTCAGCAACGTCCTCTTACTTTTTCTAAAGTTCCTTCATTTGTTTGTTTGTTCCTTCCTTCCTCTTCCTCCCTCCACTTCCCTTCATTTCTCCTTCCTTCCTTCCTTCCTTCCTTCCTTCCTTCCTTCATTTCTTTTAGTTGCCAGAGAGCACCTGCACTTGTAAGGTGGGGAGGGGGAGGAGGAGGAAGAGGAAGAGGGAGAGAGAGGGAGAGAGAGAGGGAGGGAGAGGGAGAGGGAGAAGGAGAGGGAGAGGGAGAGGGAGAGAGAGAGAGAGAGAGAGGGAGAGAAGCACCACTACCTGTGGGAATGACAGTACAAAGATCCCTTCTCTTCCATCTCTTCTTCCGCTCTGGTTTTTGGGTGTGCCTGCACACACCAGCAGGTTTTTAAGCTTCCCCCTGTGGCTTGAACTGCACGTGCAGTCAGCTTTGTGGAATCTGGCTGTCTTATTCCAGGCCAACAGCTGGCTCTAAAGAGTTTTTCGCATGAGCTGCAGGAGGGGGGATGCAGGCAGGCACCCCAAACAGGGTCTCTATATATACTACAGGGTCTGCAGTACACCTCCAGCCCCGGCCAGTGCTGGATCACAGGCAGGAAGACATGTATGCACAGCACGTTCAGAGAGGTCTTAGGATGTGAACCCGGAACCTTTCCAAGTGGTTTAGCTTCACAGTGTCACACTACCACAGCACCACCATCCAGAGCCTTCCCTCATCTTCTTAATAATTTGGGGCTAGTTAGTGGTGTGGTTGTTAAGGCAGATGGATCCCACATGGCTGACCGTGAGGTTCGAGTCTCAGACCAGGTGGCTTGAAAAACACACCAGGCGGGAGTGGGGGGGACAGTAGGTGGCATAGTGGTTAAGGCGGTGGACTCCCACATGGCAGACTACAGTTCCAGTCCTGGACTTGGCATCTTGAAACACACTGGGGGGGATCAGCAGTTAGCGTAATGGCTATGTCGCTGGACTCCCATATAGTCTACCACGGTTTGCGTCCCAGACCCGGTGGCTTAAACCTCACACCGGGCGCATGTGTGTGCGTGCCCAAGATCCCAAGAGGAAAATGGAGGAGAAGGGATTGCGGCGTGGCCATCCCCCCTGGGGGGTGATTTCTTGCTTTCTGTCTGTCTCTCTCTGCCTGTCTGGCGAGCGCACGTACCCTTTATCAAAAACCTCTCCGAAAAAAAAAAATAAATAAAAGAAAGAAACGCACTGGGTATGTGTGCCCAAAATCTCAGGGACAGAAGGGATTGTGGCATGGCCATTATTCCAGGGGTAAGATTTCTCACTTTCCCTCTTACTGTATCTGTTTCTCTCCTTTGCAAACACATGCACCTTATGTCAATAAAACTAAAAAGAAAGAAGAGAAAAGGAGAGGAAAGGAAAGGAATGGAAAGGAAAGGAAAAAGAAAAACACACCGGGCTCAGGTGCATGACACCCCAAATCCCAAGGAGGAGGAGGGAGAGATGGAGAAGAGAATGACCTGACCATTCTCCAGCAGGGGCACTTTCTCATTTACTTTCTCTCTCAGGAGCAGTGCACATGGCACCCTCTGGCAAATTAAAACAAAGTAACAATTTCTACCATGGATTGCCTGCTCCATGCTTTGTACTGCATCTTCCTTAGTGGCTTTCCCCTTAGTCTACTCCAGACCCTTAACAAGTCCGTGTTTTTTCTCGTTTTCAGGTGAGGCTCAGAGAAGGCACACTGATTTGCCTAGCAGGGGTTGTCCATGGGGTGGAGGGCAGGGGCAGGGACAAGAAGGAGGAGGCAGGTAAGCGGGGAGCTCCCCAAGTGCCAGTCGTGTTCTGCTTTCTTGGTTTGGGTGCTGGCTGCACACGTAGCTTGGTTTCTCAAAGTTCACTGAGCTGTACACTTGGGTGAATTTTTCTGTGCCTCTCTTACACTGAACTACAGAGCAAAAACAGGCTGCTGACGTTTATACAAAAAATGAAGAAGCCAAGATTCAAACCCGAGTTTATATTGTTTGTTTTAGATATAAATTTATGGCAAAACTATACAACTTTTCCACCTATAATAATACAAAATTTCTTTTTGGGGGGAGAGATTTTTGCTATCAGGCACAGGCGCTCGCTGGAGACACAGAGACAAAGTGAGAAATCACACCCCAGGGCAGAAATGTAATACACTGTAAAGTTACATGTGATTCAATGTAATATAAACAAGATTATGATAATAATAAATAAAAAAGAGCTAAAAAATGTAAAAAGTACCTACCTATGAATTAAATGAACTCAAAGTTAAAATTAATTTACCAAAAAAAAAAAAAAAAAAAAAAAAAAAGTTACCCCTCATGGTGACGGTCACTGCAATCCTGTCTCCTCCATTCTCCTCTTGGGATTCTGGGCATACAAGCACACGTGACCAGAGTGAGTTTGAGTGAGTTTCAAATGACCAAGTCTGGGATTCGAACTGCAGTTGGTCACATGGGAGTCCACCACCAACACCACCTTCTGGCACCAGCAATAAAAAAATCCTTAGTTTGATTTTTTTTATTTTATCAAAATAAATATTAGGGCATTAAGACCGAGAATGACGTCAAGTGTAAACTAGCAGGGGTGATTCATGCAATGCCAAGTGACCAATCGGGAAGGATTTGGGGACTGTTATACCAGGCTACATGCTGCCTTGTTGCCCGTAGAGAACCCAGGAGGAGAGAGGTTCTCAGTTGTCCAAGAAGAATCCTTCTCTTGGGACCAGCAGTTAGCGTAATGGTTATGTTGCTGAACTCCCATGTAGCCGACCGCAGTTCGAGTCCCGGACCCGGTGGCTTAAACTCACACCGGGCGTGTGTGCGTATGTGCCCAAGATTCCGACAGGAGAATGGAGGAGAAAGGATTGTAGCGTAGCCATCTCCCCTGGGGGGTGATTTCTCGCTTTCTGTCTCTCTTTCTGGTGAGCGCACGTGCCCTATAGCAAAAACCCTCAAGTCATGAAGAAAAAAAAACCATTCAAAAAAAAAAAAAAAAAAAAAAAAAAAAGAATCCCTGTCTTGGTTGCCCTGGGGTTTGGGGACCTCATTCCTGGGCCCAGGTCCAAGGCAGCTCGCAGGCCCACGGAGTGCTCTTACCAGCTGTCTTCCAGTGTCTCTGTGGTGCTCCTCCCCTCCTGCCTCCTCTCCAGCTCCACCGCAGTCTGTTCCAGCAGAGCGGACACGGCGTCCTGTGGAGACAAAAGCCACGGGTCATCCGGGCATGGCGGGCGCTGCCCACCTGCCAGGAATCAGAGCACTGCAGAGTGGACATCCTCTCTATGACGCCAGGGTGAAAACGGAAGACCAGCATGCTCACGTGTCCGGTCCAAGGTCACGTATAAAATCGGAAATACAGTCCTTAGTTCCTGTCACCGGCTGTCCTCAGAGGAGGACTTGAGCATGTGGACCTACTCCGCAGAGTCTGGGAGGAGAGTCAAGGTTAGCGGTTGAGTGAGACAGAATTACAGGTCTCTAGCTCCTCAGCAAGACCAACACTGGAACAATCATAACAGAGAGATAGAGACTATAAGAAAGGGTGTTTGGCAACAGGAGCAGCAGTAAAGCCTGGGAGTTTATATTCAGGGAGGGCTTCCTGGAAGAACATCCATACTGAATAGTATCTACAATGAGGAAGCTTGTGTGACCCGAGGAAATTAACCTCTCTGAGACTCAGTCCCCTTTAGTAACTACTAGGACGGGCTATTAAGATGATCCAGACTCTGTGTGCATCAGGGATGCAGGAGTGTGCTTAGCATATAATTGGTGCTCACTAAATGGCAACCTATACCAAAGCAGAAATTGGATCCTGTAGTTTTCTGAAGACATGGTTAATTTGCAATTGGCCTTGGCAGTGTGGTGCAGAGCTAGGTAGCTCTTGAAACTTTGTGTGGGAGACGGAAAGAGGAAACGAAATGAATAAGAGGCCTGGTACTGGCACCGCTGTGAACGACGGTGCATGGATAGCATCTTATTTAATCTTTACAAGCGTCCTGAAAGGTGGCGATTCTTAGAAATAGGAATGAGGAAACGTAGAGTGTCTAGGTTTACCCAAGGCCATGTGCAAGAAAACAGTTTTCTTTGAAGACCTCTATTAGCTCATCTTCTTTTGTGTAGCGAGAGAGGCCTGAGGGAGAGGAAAGTCTTTCTGAGCTATGGTAAACTGCACATAATAACAGACAGTGCATGACGCAAAAGGAAGTGCAAAAAATGCTAACGAAGATGATGAAAAAAGGAGAGGAAAAGGGGGCAAGGGAAGAGGAGATGGAGAAAACTAAGAGACTTAATCCACATTCTTATTGTTCCCGGCACGACCCGACCTACCCCCTTCATGGACATCCTGGGCGCTGACTGTCGGAAGGAACAGAGTTCTCTGACTGTCAGGAACGAGCAGCTCTGTGGAGACTATGAGGCAACCTGAGTCCTAAGCACTCCCTGTGTGGCTCACGGATGGGGTCAGGGGCCCGCAGGATTCCTGTATTCCACGTGCGAAGGCGACGTGACTGTTTGCTGAGTCTCGGCCAGCCTACTTAGCCGGTGGTGTGGCTTTCCAGGTACAGAAATGGCTCAGGGATATTTTCATAGCTCTAAGTGTACTGCACTAAAGGAGAACAGTACATACATACACACACACTCACATACACACATATGCACGTATATGCTCAGGGATATTTTCATAGCTCTAAGTGTACTGCACTAAAGGAGAACAGTACATACATACACACACACACACACACACACATATGCACGTATATGCTCAGGGATATTTTCATAGCTCTAAGTGTACTGCACTAAAGGAGAACAGTACATACATACATACACTCACATACACACATATGCACGTATATGCTCAGGGATATTTTCATAGCTCTAAGTGTACTGCACTAAAGGAGAACAGTACATACACACACACACACTCACATACACGTATATGCTCAGGGACATTTTCGTAGCTCTAAGTGTACTGCACTAAAGGAGAACAGTACATACATACATACACACACACTCACATACACGTATATGCTCAGGGATATTTTCGTAGCTCTAAGTGTACTGCACTAAAGGAAAACAGTACATACATACATATACGCACACACTCACATACACGTATATGCATATATACATATTCACCACACACATGTATTTTATATATGTATTATATATATATATATATATATATATGTAAATATATATATAAAATAGGCAAATGTGAGATTTCCAAGTAACTTAGGATAATAAGGGACAGTGACCATCTATTAAGTCTTTATCGTACACGGGCATTGCCCTGAAGTTTCACCACCTCTTTAGACTCACATTAGACAGAAGGTGGAGGCTCAGAGAGGTGACGTGACTGACCCGGCACCCAGCTAAGAAACTTCTTCTCTTGACTTCCAGTTGTCTTATTTAAGTTTTCCCATGGGTATGTGTGCTCACCAGAGAGACAGAGAGAGAGAGACAGATAAAGTGAGAAATCACCTCCGACGGGGGATGACCACGCTGCAATCCCTTGTCCTCCATTCGCCTCTCGGAATTTTGGGCATGCGTGCACACGTACCAGTGCTTTAGCCACCACATCACCTGCTGGCCCTCCTGCTGCCTTTCACATAAAGCTTCCACTAGGGTCTTTGTACACAGCAGGGCTCAATAAAGGTCGATTTTTCTACCTCCTACAGTTTTTTCCTTCCCTCTCTACTTTTTTTTTTTTAATCATGATCAAGATGTTCATCGGGTGAGTGACACTAGGTAAGGCGAGGCACAGGAGGAAGCACAGATGCAGACAGGAGCAAGTCCAAGGGGAGCTGCTGGCCCTTTACAGAGCTCTCTCCACCCCTGCCCTCTGCTCTCACTCCCTGACATTTCTTCCACTTCTTTTTGTTTTGTTTTTGTTTTTGTTTTTTTGAGAGGTTGTTGCTATAGGGTGTGTGCGGTCACCAGAAAGACAGAGAGAGACAGAGAGACAGAAAGCAAGAAATCACCTCCCAGGGGTGATGGCCACTCCACAATCCCTTCTCCTCCATTCTCCTCTCAAGATCTTGGGCATGCACATGTGCCCGGCGTGAGTTTAAGCCACTGGGTCCAGGACTTGAACCACGATTGACTACATGGGAGTCCAGCGACATAACCATTACGCCATCTGCTGGTTCCCACTTCCTCCACTTCTGATGTCCGTTGTCTTGGGTTCTGGGAGAGCCTTTCCCTCCTACCCATCCAGGTGCCAAGTGTGTGTGAGGACAGTGGCACAGGGTCCCAGCTCACCGTGCTTTCAGGGCCTGGGGTGAGGCCTGTGGCTCCCACTAGCTGGGGCTCCCTGTTCTGTTTCTTCAAGTATTTGTAGCTCAGGAGGTTGTACCAGCGAGTCGATCTCTCTCCAGACCGGCAGACCTCAGCCAGGCTGATCTGGGCGCCTCCCTGTGGGGAATAGGGAAGAAGAAAAAGTGTAAGTAGGGAGTGATCAAGTTCTCTGGGAAATGGACTCCTGGGGACAGAATGGAACCACAGCTCCAGAGGAGCAGAAGGCTCCTGAGAAGGAGGCTGCCTGGGAGGAAGGGCCAGCTGTGCAATTCGGACTCTGTGATACTCCTTCACCAAGCCCCTGCCTGCTTCCCTGCCTCCGGGAACCGCATGCTACTTTGTTTCTCTACGTTTGAGTGTTTTAGATCCCTCCTGTAAGTGAGGTCATATGGACTTGGTCTGTCTGTGACTGGCTTATTTACTTTATGATCTAGAGGCCCATCAGCGTTGCAGCATGCATCAGAATTTTGCTCCTTTTCAAAGGTTGTATATTCTGCTGTATATATAGACCGCATTTTGTTCATCCGTTCATTTGCCAATGGACCCTGGGTCATCTAACCCTCTTGACTATTGTGAATGCTGCTATGAACACAGGTGTGCAGAAACCTTTTTGAGATCCTGCACTGAATTCTTTTGCATATGTATACCCTTAGAAATCAGACTGCTGAATAGTATGGTACTTCAGTTTTTAATTTTTTAAAAAAAAGAATTATTTAATTTTTGGGGAACTATTTTGTTTATTTATTATTATTATTGTTCAATTTCACCAGAGAGAGAGAGACAGAGAGAGAGAAAGCCACCAGGTCCAGGACTTGAACAGCAGTCAGTCATATGGGAGTCCGGTGTCTTAATCACCAGCCGGCCACTGGTTTTCATTTTTAAAAGAACTTCAGTTCTCATTTTTTTTTTTTTTTGAACGGCTGCATCATTTTATAATCTCAACTATGCACAAGAGTTTCAATTTCTGTACAGTTTCACCAATGCCTATTTTAAAAAATTTTATTTTTTACAGTCACCATCCTGATAGGATTGGGGGTGATCTCAATAAGTTTTTGTTTTGTTTTTGATTTTTGCCATAGGGCACAAGCCTCACTAAAGATAGAGGGGAAGAAAACAGTCACCTCTGGGGGATGGTCACACCTCAATCCCTTCTCCTCCGATCTCCTCTCAGGACTTTGGGCACCCATGCACATGTGCCTGGTCTGTTTTTTTCAAGTCGTCAGATCTGGGACTTGAACCATGGAGTCAGCCATGTGGGGTTGAGTGCCTTAACTATCATGCCACCTGCTGGCCCTCATTGTGGTGTTGATTTGCATTTCTCTGATGAGATGCAGCACCTTTGATGTCATCCTCTTTTCACATGTCCACTGGCCATTTGTCCATTGTCTTTGGAAAAGCGCCTGTCCATGTGATTCACCCGTCTTCGAACTGCGTTACCTAACTCTCACTGTGGAATGTCTACCTTACGTCCATCATGCTGAGTGCTGGCTTCCCCACCGGTTCCTGAAGATAATGAAGTTCCCCAAATGGTCTTACCTACAAGCTGTTTCCCAAAAAACTCAGACCTTGAACAAGTAGTTTAACACAAGGGAGGTAAAACAAAACAAAACGAACCACACTATTATTTTCCCCTACAGAATCTGCAAAATATCTCAAATACCGACAGTGCCTGTGTTGGTGAAGGTGTGGGAAATAGACACTCCCATGTTGCGGTGGGAATATACAAGAGCAGAAATCCAATGGGAGGAATTTGGTACTATCTAGCAAAAATATGGCGTGTTTTATTCCTTGGCCCAGCCAATTTCTTGTGTGTGCCTAGCCCACAAATACACCTATGTAAGTCAAAATGACCTGCAAACGAAAATCTGTATTCTGGCCCTCTTTTGCAAGAGCAGATGATTTTAAACACCTCAAAAGTCTAGCAATAGGGGACTGGTCGAGTAGAACATGTATCTATACAGTGGAATGTTACATAGCTATGTTAAAATGAGGATGCCCTCTTTGTCCTGCTAGAGAGAGATCTCTAGGCCATATTGTTAAGAAGAAAGGGTCCTTCAGGGCTGGCAGGTGACATGGTGGTTAAGGGCACTGGACTCCCACATGGTCAACCACAGTTTGAGTCCTGGACCTGGTGGCTTGCTTTCTCACTTTCCCTTTCCTTCACTCTGCCCCTCTCTGGTCAAATTAAAATAAATAAATAAATAAATAAAGATTAAAGAAGAAGGAGGAGGAGGAGAAGGAGGAGGAGGAGGAGGAGAAGGAGGAGAAGGAGGAGGAGGAGGAGAAGGAGAAGGAGAAGGAGAAGGAGAAGGAGAAGAAGAAGAAGAAGAAGAAGAAGAAGAAGAAGAAGAAGAAGAAGAGGAGGTTCTTTAACCCATGTAGAATTCTTTCTTCTCTAGATTTTTACCACAGGACATGCATGCTTGCTGGAGAGAGGGAAAAGGAGAAATCATTCCCCCAGGGAGATGGTCTTGCTGCCATCTCTTCTCCATTCTTCTTTTGGGACTTTGAGCATATGTGCACACACGCCGGGCATGTTTTTCAGGCCGCCAGGTCTGGGACTCGAAACAGTAGTGGCAGTGTGGGATTCAATGCCTTAACCACCACACCACCTGCTGCCCTTTTCTAAAATTAATTTATTTTGTCAGAGGGTACATATGCTCACTAGAGAGACAGACAGACAGACAGACAGAGAGAACGAGAAAGTACTCCCCAATGGGATGCTTCGATCCTTTGTCCTCCATTTCCCCACCCCATCTTGTAAGTCCTATGCTATGGAGCTGGGACCGAGATGTCAGAGTATTTGAATCACTCAGCTGCGGGCATGGCAGTGCCACAACTGGGCATTATACTAGAAAACAGTTCTGATGTAGCTCAGGTCTTTGCCAGGAGCCTGTTACATGCCCACCGCAGTGCTGGGGACACAGTGAGAAACCATACGGATCAGGAACTGACTGATGGCTGCCGGGCAGACAAGTCGTGATGTAGACGCTGTGGGAAACAGCTGGGTCGGACTGGCAGAGGGAAACTGGGCACACCCCAGGGAGAGACATGGGCGTGTACACCACTGAGCCTCTGCCCTGCCTGCGAGTCTGTACGCTGGCAGAGTGGCAGTCCCGCATCCTGGTGGGCTGGACTCTCGTTCCTGGTGTGAACCACGGGCTTTTGCCTAGAGTGGGGCACCTCCTTACTGTCCATACTGGCCTGCTCGTACTGCAAAGCCCTTCTCTGACCCAGAATGGCAGGGAGACATCCCTGGGACGCCAGGCTCGTGGCTATCGCTAGGCTCGTCCTCCTGGCCATGCTCCCGAAGAATCTTCACTGCCCTGTCTCGGTTCCTGTCTCTGTAAGGTCCGGCTTGTACCACCTTCCTCCCAGGTATTAGGTCATTGGAAAGTCGTGGCATATTCTTCCACGCCTTTCTACGCAAAAACGAGTCATGACTTTCCCAATGACCTGACAGTTCTCTGAGCATTAAATAAGGGGAAAGCAGCACTTCTCAAACTTACACACACACACAGCGTTATCTGGGGCTCTGGCTAGAAGGCAGGTCTAGGCTGGGGCCTGAGAGTCCGTCATTTCTTTTTTAAAGAGAGCTATTTGTAATTGGAAGCATAGAAAGACAGACAGAAAGACAGAAATTGAGAAATCACCTCCTGTGGGGATGGCCATGCCGCAATCCCATCTCCATTCTTTTCTTGAGATCTTGGGCACCCATGCACATGTGCCCGGCAGGACTTTTAAGTTGCCGGGTCTGGGACTTGAACCATGGTCAACTACATAACCATTACACTATCTGCTGGTCCCAAGAGGGTCTGCATTTCTAACGAGCTCCCAGGTGATGTCAACACTGCCGGGCCTTGGAGCTCACTTTGTGTTGACAAGAGGAAAAGCATCAAAGGCCCGCACACTGAGTGGTGAAGCGCCGAAGTGTCTGTGCACTGAGTGGCCACTGGGCGTTCCCGGCTCTTCCTCCTCTGCTGGGGCTGCAGAACCCCTGCCCCGCACGCCGTGGCTCTTTCAGACAGTACTGCATTGCTAACTCTATGGGAAGCCATAGGCCAGCAGACTAAGTAGCTTACACGTGTATCTCTGTTGATCCTCACTCCAACCTTCTCAGGTAGGTACTCTATGCTAGTGGGGAAACTGAGGCACGAAGATGCAAGCACTTTCCTGAGGCCACAGTTGGGCAGCGGCAGAGGCCTTCAAACCAGGCAGGGCCTACTATCCTAGTCAGATGGCCACGGCAGGCCCTCTGTGTGGTCTCTGTCAGCACAGGGGTCCCCGGGATGCACAGGTGGGGACGGTGACTTGGAAGGTTTGGCGAGCTGGAGGACACTGAGCAGCAGAGCAGAAAGCTTTCCAAACCCAGGATCCTCCACTGAAGCATTCCCTCAGTCCGGGACATTCCGAAACGAGAAGAGACTCAATCCTATTTTCTTCTCCTAATTGGATGTCTTTTATTCCTCTTCTAATTGAAGTCTGGCCATTGCCGGTTGCCATGGCAGCAGCCAAAGCGCTCATCTCACCATGGCTCGTCTCCCTCTGCGGCCAATGGGAAACCTCCTTCCCCGTGCATGGTGGGGACAGTGTCAGGCTGTCGTATTTTGGTGGCTGGAGGAGGAGAGGAAGTGAGACTGGACGAGAAAGGGCTTGCCTCCGCCCACGCAGAGCCTCCGTGCCCTGCTGGGTACTTGGGATCCCCGCCTGCGTTAAGCCGTTTAAGCAGCCAGCCAGCAGCAGTATCCACACGGAGCAGTCTGTCGGATCCCCCGCCTGCGTTAAGCCTTAAGCAGCTGGCCAGCAGCAGTATCCACACGGAGCAGTCTGTGTGCCCACCATGGCCGAGCGTCCTCGGGCAGAAGTGTTTCATGTTTCTGCAGATTTTGGAATATTCGTGTATACTTACTTGGGGATGTGACCCAGGTCTCAATACAAAATTCACTTGTGATTTTCATGCACTCTTCATATACATACACATGTATACAATCATTTTGTACCATGTGTTTGGACTGCAACCCATCACATGAGATGTGGTGTGGTATTTCCACTCGTGGTCCCACACTGGGGATTAAAAGTCAGATTTTGGAGCATTTTGGATCGCCACATGCAACCTGCATGGGCTCTGCGTGTAGTATCTCACGTAATCTGCAGGACGGCCATGGGAAGAGCTCTGGGGATGATTCCGTGTTACAAGTAAGGCACTGAGGCCCGGAAAGGCTAAGTAACCTGCCTCGGTCATACGGCGAGCAGATGGAGAAGCCTGGGTTTGAACACACATGCGATTCCTTATGTGTAGCCACTGTCAGTGCCACCTCTTGGGGGGTTGCTGTGCGTCTCTCCCATTTCCCAGACCTGGGTTATGAGTTGGGGGGATATACGGCCTGTGCTACCCAATGTCACAGGTGAGAGTCCTACCAAGTGCTGTGTGGCGTCAGAGGGCTGGCTGCCCACCAGACTGCTAAGCCCAGTGCCACATGGCTCAGGTCCCATCCAGGGAGCCGCTTCCCAAGCCCATCTCCACCCTATGGTTAACCATCATGATGACTGCCTTGCCTTCTTCGCATACTCACTTGGGAAAATCCCAGACATGGCAAGGTGAACTCTTCACCTGCTCCTCTCTACCACACAACGGGCTGGCTGGCATGGTGCCGAAAGGCACTGGACTCCCATCTGGCTGACCACGGTTCAAGTTCCAGACCTGGTGGCTTGCTTTCTCATCTTCCCTCTCTCTTTGTCTCTCTCTGGTCAAACTAATAATAATAATAAATGAAGCTAAATAAAGTAATTATTTATTTATTTATTTTTTGGAGAGGTTTTTGCTATAGGGCGTATGTGCTCGCCAAAAAGAGAGAGAGACAGAGAGACAGAAAGTGAGAAATCAACCCCCAGCGGGGACAGCCATGCCGCAATCCCTTCTCCTCTCAGGATCTTGGGCACACACACCCGGTGTGAGTTTAAGCCACCAGGTCCAGAACTTGAACTGGGGTGGACTACATGAGAGTCCAGCGACACAGCCATTACGCCAACTGCTGGTCCCTGAAATAATTCTTTAAGAAAAAAAACAAACAAAACAAAACCACAACCATACTACATGACCTCATTCAAAACCCGGTTGCAAACTCCCTTTCCATAAGCTCTGAGTGTTGCCCAGCAACTGCCCAGTGTCTCCCTGCACCCCTTCCTCTCCCTATTGTCATAATGCCTAACTCACACTTCTCCCTCAGGGGGCAAGCAGGAGTCAGAAACAAGCTCCCCAGTTCCCAGTACTCCCCAGTACTCTTCCCCTGTCTGCTTCACTGATTCCTCCTTGTGACTCTGACCTCTGCACTGGAGGGGCCAAGGGTCAGTCCGCGCTCCAACTCACTGCCTTGGTGACCTCATCCTGACTGCAGGCCACAGATGCCATCCCCACCGCTCGGCCCCAGCCTGGGTTACCCACACTTCTCCAACCTCGTTGTCCCACACCTGTTCTGCATCTTTGCCGACGTGTCGAATAGGAGTCTCAAACCGGCACGGTCACAAGGGTGCCCCTGATCTTTCCCTGTCTTCACTTTTCAGCTGACGGCAGCCCCATCCTTCCATTGCTCAGGCCAAGAAATGCCGGTGCTACTTTTGACCTCCTCCCCCACTCCATCCTGCTAGCTTTACCTTCAGAAGGTCCCCAAATTCCAACCACTTCTTACGATTTCCCTGAGCCCAGCCGCTGTCACCTCCCACCTGGATCATTGCAGCCTTCTCTCTGCCCTTCACTCCTGTCCTCTTTCCACCACAGCAGTCAACTACACCATTCCTCTGCCACAACCTCACGCTGCTCCGTCGCTACCTACAGTCACCCCTGGGGTCCCACACCTCATCTGTGGGAGATGGCCCCTTAGCACCCCTGGGATTTCACTCCCAGTCCTTCCATGCTGTGTGGTGTGAGTGCACCACACGCACCACTCCTGCCTATACTCGCCGTGCCTGCCAACGGCAATCCGCTGCTTCCAGATACCCAGCCAAGCCTGCTCCCCGCCTCCTCCTGCACTTGCCTCAAATGCCACTTCTCAGTGAGGTCTTCCCTTTCATCCTGTTTAAGATCCTGTTGCCTTCCCCACTCTCTCATCCCTTCCTATTCCTTTTTCCTATATTCCTTTTCTTCATGGTGCTTTTTAATCACATACCATTTGATATATCCTGCAGATTTAGGGGACGCACTTCCACGTTTGGTCATAGCAATTGATATTCTTAGTGGGATGTACAATAATAGCACACTTTAAAATCAGTGATACTTTAGACTTGAATGTGAGCTCATGAAGGCAGGATTTTTTTTTTTTTTTTTAAATTTGCTATATTGCACACACACTCACAGGAAAGAGACAGAGCAAGAAAGGAGAGAGTGAGAATGCACCTCATTGCAGGGGGTAGGAGGACGGCCACACTGCAGTCCTTCTCCTCCATTATTCTCTTAGATTTTTGGATATGTGGGACCAGCAGTTAGTGTAATGGCTATGTCGCTGGACTGCCATGTAGTCAACCACGGTTCGAGTCCCGGACCCCGTGGCTTAAACTCACACGGACGCATGTGCATGCATGCCCAAGATCTCAAGAAGAGAATGGAGGAGAACAGATTGCGGCATGGCCTTCCCCTCTGGGGGGCAATTTCTCACTTTCTGTCTCTCTGTCTCTCTCTGTCTTTCTGGTGAGCACGTGCGTCCTATAGCAAAAACCTCTCCAAAAATAAAAAAAGAATTTTGGATATGCATGCACACGTGCCTGCTGTGTTTCTCAAGTGCCGGGTCTGGGACTCAAACAGTGCAGCCAGCCATGTGGGATTCAGCTACCTTAACCACCATGCCAACAGCTGACCTGAGAACAGCTAGTTTTATCTGCCTTAAATCCCACTGTAGAGGAGTTCCTGGCACAGAGGCTACACAGCAAATTTACTGTGTGGGGAAGAAATGAACAAATGAAATGTAAATCTCTTCAAAGCACATGCAGTTCACCGAGGCAGACAACGCTCGCACTGAGGAGCAGACACGACAAGCAGGGTAACTATGAGAAATAACAGCAGCACGACGGAGGGGTTCTGACTCAACGGTGATCACGCTTCCTGCCCCTGCACCTCAGGCATGGACGGTCCTGTGCTCTGATCTGTAACACCTGGTGTTATTTGTCTGTCTCCCTCAAAAACCACAAGCCCGTTGGGGGAAGAATCATGTCGTCTGTGCTTCTTTGGCTCCAGATTCTCCAAAGGGCTCAAGGAGCAGTTCCTGAAGCAGTAAATGAGTACTGTGCACACATACGTGTGTGTGGTACTCAGGGGTAGTCTCAGAAATGCACGTGGATCAGCTGTCTCTGTGAACATCATGGGGAGGACTTACACAAACCCAGATGGCATAGCCTCCTACGTCCCCAGGCTGGATGGTTCAGTCTACGTGTCCCTAGGGAACCACCACCAGTCATGCAGCCCGCTACTGACCAAAATGTCGTCCCATGGCACATAACTGGATTTGCACATATTCTGAGCCTAAAGTGGGGCGTGCATTCGGCACCTGAACTGCCTCTGACGCTCTTGGCAGCCCCGTAGATAGGCCATTTTCCCAGTTCCCCAGATGAGGACGCGGAACACGTGAAGAGTCAGCATTGTGTCTGCTTCTTTGTGCTCCCCACCACTGTTCCCCCCAGATTGGCTTTTAGCTGCCCCAAACTGAGCACAGTCCGTGCCACGCTCTGGCACATCCCGAGGGAAGAAAGGACCAGCCCTGTAGCATGGTGGTTAAGTGTTGTGCTTAGAAAAGCAGATCCCAACTGCTGACTGTGGTTTGAATCCCAGCCCTGGTGGTTCGAAAAACACACAGGATGAGTGTGCATGCCTGCTCAGATTCCTGATGGGATGGAGAAACGGGGGTGAAGGATTGTGGCATGACCACACTCCACTGGGGGTTCCCTCTCTCTATATGGAAAGTACATAGGCATTCTCACAATTAAAAAGAAATCTAAAAAAGGTGTATATGAAAATATGTAAGAAAAATTTCAAAAATAAGTAAAACAAAATACTCTAACATGGAAGAGGACTAGCGTTAACGGAGCCCCTCACGCCTCAGGAGTGTATCACGAGCCCTGAGTCAGCCATGGATCCCCGTGTCCCAGGTGAGTAAGCAGAACATCGCCTGCACTGGGTTCTGCCTTTTCTATGGAGTGGCTTTCTTAGGACCCAGACACATCCAGGGCAACTTCATGTCCCGCTCTGACTCCTGCCAATACAGTGAGGAGAAAGAGGAACTCCATTCCAGGACGATGACTAGAACTGGCCTCGTTCGGGGAGAACCTGCTGTGTGTCGGACACCTGAACAGGTGCTGTGTGTGTACTGTCTCCTTTAATCCTCACAATGACTTTTCTAGTGGGCATGAAGAGGCCATTCTCATTCTTGGATGAGAAAAGTGAGGCTCAGAGATGTTAAGTAACTCGCCTGAGGTCACTCAGCTGTGTAGCTAGTGGAAGGGTAGGTCTGAAGGCCCGTCTGCCTGTTCTGCCGTGTAATCGCTAATGCTGTACAGAAAGTGGTAGAACGGGCCGGCAACTTTCAGGAGCCCCCGCCCTGCTCTAAGTCTAGGGACGCCGCTCACCTACGGAGGAACCCAAGAGGAGCACGGCCATTACCACAAATCTGTCTCCTTCAACCCTTTTCCCTGAAGCTCAAGGTGGGCCGGTCCCCAGCAGGATGGAAGGTCGATGGATAGACAGACAGACATGGGCCTCACCAGGCACTCCTCCAGATGGCTCCTGTCGGTGGTACAGACATCGACTCTTAAGGTCTTCTGGTGAAGGGCTGGATAGGACATGGATACCCAGAACACCTCGTTGAACACCAGGTTGTCCGAGGCATCCAGGGGCCGGGTCCGGAACAGGCAAGTGGTGCTTTCAGAACAAGGAAGGACGGCCACACGGATGTTCCTGGAGGGACACAGAATCGTGGGAGAGCTTCGGTCAGTCCAGGTGTGGGGCTGATGACCTGGGCCAAACCGCTGCTGAAATCACTAAGAAGACAGCAGTGGTGAGAGTCAGCACATTTCCGAGCAGGTACCTGCAAGGGATGCAGGAAAGACTTCGGGCCCTGACGGTAATACATGCTCCTCCTCCCTGCCCCTCCCCCCCCCCCCCCGCACAGTCATCCACCCACCCCCCGGCG